TCTCTCTCTCTCTCTCTCTCTCTCTCTCTCTCTCTCTCTCTCTCTCTCTCTCTCTCTCTCTCTCTCTCTCTCTCTCTCTCGCTGTGTGTGTGTGTATAGTGGGTGGACGTCTGTTCCAGATGCAGGAGACGGCAAGCTCACAACCCCCTGTCCTAGACCTAAAGGAGGAGGGATGTGCCTCAGCCAGTCTAAATCCTACATAACGGGCCTGAGTTAAACTGAATTCTCCTGACTTACCTCATGGACAAGAAGAATTGTAGACAAACTAATCATGTGTACTCATTATACACCTTCCGCCTATAGCGCAAGGACACCCTTGAGGCCCCACTTTCAGCATAGTGTATATCCAGCCCACTATGCCCTCTATGAATGTGCATAGCCACAATGTCGCCGGGGCCAGGAAAGCATGGGTGGCCAAAATCATGAAACTCTTTGGAAGAGACAGGAGTCTCGGAGGGAGAAATTGGTGAGGACCATGACTGACCCCACCCTTCCATTCTACACGACATGGCTGAAAAGAACAATCCCGCTTGGAGCATTTTCTATCATGCTACTGAGTTCAGAAATGGGCGTGTGGTCACGGCAGGCAGCAATAACAAACAGGTTTGTGTCAATGCCACAAAGGTAACACTACAGTGCAGACATTTGGATTACAAAGAACAGATTGGGCAGAGGTAGGGGAACAGGAAAAAAGAGTTCAGCCATCATCATGTCCCACTATAATGCTGTCGCTTCTGCAAAGCATACTGCAATTTCATCTTCCTCTTCCTTTGTCTCTCAGACTGCTGCAAGGACTGCTCGTCCAGAGCATCCCCATCATCATCATCCACACCGTCAAGTGTTGACGTACCTTCCTCTCCATCTTGCCGCCTTTTCTTGTAGCTTTGATGCCTTTGGTCTGCCAACGCCTCCCTAAACTCTCCCAAGTTTCCCTTGAACTCCTGATCTACGATGTCTTGCCAGAAGGTGACCGACTTCTCAAAGTCCCCAAGCTCCTTCGCTTTCCCCTCGATCGCCCGAATGATCCTCATCTGTCGGGAGAACCATTTGCTCTCCTTCCTGTCCCTCCACTTAAACCCCTCCTCATTCTTCTGCCTCAGTTCCAGCATCTCCACCGCTGGCTTGTTGGCCTGCAAACCAACCTTGTATTCCCTCCAGACCTCCGAGACCGTCTTCAGTGTCCGGACCATCTGGTACACTGGAGTGATTCCTTGTTGATGCCGATTTCCATTCATGACCATCATCTGACCCTGCTGCGGCGGTTGCTGATGTTGAGAGGGTAAAACCTGTGCCTGTTGATGATGCGGGTGGTGGTGGTGCTGCTGCTGATGTGTAGCTGGCTGAGACACGGCACAGAGTGCAGACTGGTGCTGTGGTCCTGCTGAAGGTCCATTCCTTCCCCCGCATGCCGCATTCATCCCACCATGAAGTGCTGCGCCAATTGGCGACCCTGCTGCCACCTGCATGACTGGAGCTCCCGCCCCTGACCCCGACGCCGAGGACATCGCTGCAGCAACAACGGATGGACTGATTGCAAGCATCCCCGCCTGCTGCTGTTGCTGCTGCTGTTGCTGTTGGTGTGGATGTGAAGGGACCACTTTACCAGGTCCCGCAATCCCACCCGGCGGAGCTGCCACTGCAGAGCTAGCAACTGTGACAGACGACAGCATATTAGCCGGCGCAGCCACCGCTGCGGCTGTGATTGCAGGGCCATATCCAGCCTGCGCACCTCCTACCGCTCCATGAGGGTTTCCTGCAGCCATGCTAAGCGAGCTATGGACAAAGCGGGGAGATCTCATCAAGTCACATAGCTCCTTGATCTGCAGCCGTAGTGCCAATGTCTCCTCTCGCTGTGCTCTGACCTCGCCCTTCAGTGCCTGCATTTCCTGAATGATCTATCAATACCACCCCAGAAGAAAACGGAAACGCCACCCCCAACCATTTGTCAGACAACTATCATCTTTACTTACATCAGTCTCCCCTATCTAATGATGACTAGCACAACCGACAAAGTACACAATCAACCACTCCACGATCACATCGTCCCCGTACAATCGAGTTGCTCGGCCTGGACATCATCATCAACCACAACTATGCCCATTCCCCTTCGCACAACGTTTCACTTCACAACATATTTGTCCACTCCCGTTTCCACGACAACTCTCCCCATTGGCGTCCGTTTCCACAACAGCTTTGTCCATTCCCGATTCCATGGCAACTTCGCCCATTCCCATTTCCAGTCTTCCTGTGCGCTCTCCATCATCTCCGTCAAGGGTTACAACGACTGCAGGCAGTCTCTTGCATTCGGCTTCATAGACAAGGCATACCTGATGCCTGGCTGGGAACTGATCCATCGTGATGGCTTCCCACTGTGTAAAAGGCAAAGGAGTCGATCAAACAGAAATATAAAGTCATTAATTCATTCTCCCCTCGCACAGACAGATGTACTGGTGGCACTGGAAGATGGGCAGCATGTGAGAAAGTGGTACTTCATCTCACTACTACTCGAGAGGGAGAAGGGGGGAGGGGGGGGCGGCAGGGAGGAGGCGGGAAGGGGGGGCAGTGGTCCCCCTAGAGTGCCGTCAAGTGTACTGTGATTGTGGGCTTCGATGGACGGTTGAAGGGCTTTAAACCACCAGTTCACAGAAACCTAAGTAGTGCTCTTACCGCGGTAAACACGGTAAGAGGTTTTCGATTCGAGCCTGGGCCGGTAGCAAAAGCGGCAGGGCACTTCGAAAAGGCGCAGTTGCAGGCTCGCGAGCCCTGCAAGGTAGCCTCGTCAACTTAGGCTCGTGTGAACTGGTGGTTTAACGGTTGGTGGGCTTCAATGGAAAGATTCCATCGGGTGTGAACTACCCGAATGCATGTTGCAAGAGAACAACTGCAATCGATGGCAGCACGTGGCTCAGGAATGGATGTGCAGTCATATTCCCAAAGGAACCTAGCTTTCTGCAGCAAAGGGGAAGAAACAGTCAATACTTTTGTAATAAGCATAGGCACTGGGCGACTATGACTACAGCAGAGACAAAACGCTGTAGCCCTATATTAGGCCCCCAGAGCGAAGCCTACACCAATTTGGTAAATTGAGAGGAAGACGCCGCGGACGGCACATGCCACCGCATCATCTTCATCTCCTTGGGATAGAGGGGGAAGGAAGGAGGAAGGTGGTGAACCGGTGCGAGGAAGTGAGGAGAGAGAATTGTCTTCACCCTGATAGAAAGCATGGCATTATTATTATGTCGTTCTTTTTCATGAACGTTGTTCTAAGGACCTTCCTTACTCAAACCCCTTTACTCCGTCCTATATATATTGTTAGTCTGGTAACATAAAGAAAATAAGAAACCTTCTGCAGCATCCCTGCATGCACAATTCACCCCCTGCAAAGTGAGAAGACATGAGCGACCATATTTTCCGACAAGAACAGACGGGCGTTATTATGGGCATTATTACGACTGTATGGAAGGTGCGAACCTGCCTCCTTGCAATCTGAGGGGACACGAATGCAAAGTCTTCCTCCCATGGGCATTATTATGAGTGTAGGACGGCGGAAACCTGTTCTCATGTCTTCCTCCCATACTCTTCCGATTAGAACACGGGCATTATTACGACTGCAGGAAGCTGGAAGCCTACCTTTCGAAGCGCACCATAAAAATAGGGATAAAAAGCTATTTTATCTACAGAAGAGTTTATGCCCAATGGATTATTGGAACCATCTTGATGCAAAGCAGCAATATGAAGAATACTAGCACTTGCAATTATGAAAGGAAGTAAGTAATGAAGACTAGAAAAGCGATTGTTAAAGACATGCTGGGCACGAAAGCAAGATGCAAAGAAGTGGGCGTCCGTCCGGTCTCCTTCCTGCATTCATTATGGAGTAAATCAACCAAGGGCATTGCCGAAATGCGCGTGGAAAAGCACTTGGTCAAACCGAGCAACCAGAGGCTCGCACCTCCGAGGCCGGCTCAGGAGATCACGTGATGAGACATGAGCGACCATATGATTCTTCCGATTACGACTCATAGGTATGATTATGACTGCAGGAAGTCCGAAGCCTGGCTCCTTGCAAAGTGAGGGGACATGAGTCAGTCCTCTTTGGTCAAAACACATGACCATTATTATGACCGGATAGGAGTGAAGAGTTTGAAGAAAGCAGGAGATAGGATGCTGTCATCACTCTATGGGTAGGAAGACAGGGCTGTGTTTTGTGCCATGAAGCTTGTAGTGCCTTCCTGGGTATTATGCAACGAAAGCTTGTAGAGGCCTGGGTATTGTGCAACGAAGCTTGTACCTGGGTATTGAGGGATGGAGCATGTAGTGTCTGGGTACCATCGGGGGTCTCCTCCCGGCTACACGCAACCTAACCGGCTGGTCTTTCACTAACGGGGATGTCGTAACGCGGCATATTGGTTATTTCTTTGTGTCCGTCTGTCTCTCTTCTCTACGATAACTTCCTTCTGGCAATGACTCGTTTTGTTCGCATGCTTGCCGGTAATAACCAACCGGACTGCCCTCCCCAAGAGTCGACGATGTGGCATGTGTGTGTGTGTGTGTGTGTGTGTGTGTGTGTGTGTGTGTGTGTGTGTGTGTGTGTGTGTGTGTGTTGGAGAACAAAGAACAAAAAAACAAGGAGCTTGGAGGAGGCCTTTAAAACACACTTGACCAACAGCCCTAGCTCAGTTGGCAACACCTACGGACTGTTGAAATACAGACCCACGTTCGAGTCCACATATTACAATCAGACGAGGTCAGCTCAATGCATTATGATATCTCAAGGCCGTCGCCCTTAAAAAAAAAAAGCGAAAAAAAAGAAAAGGACCACACGATATAAACGATCGACAAATGCAAGAGTTCAAACAAACCAGTGATACAAAGAATCCTCCTTTTGACAGACAAACCAGTAATGCAAAAAAACGCATGAGTTGAAAACCAAAGGCCTTCCTTGCCGCTACCCATCAAAGAGCTTCTACTCCATCGGCAAACTTAATTACCCCTCTGGGCATTTTACTTTGACGTTCCTGGCCACAATTTTGGCCTTCTTCGAACCAAAATCGTCAGGGCTTATCGGGTTCCCACCAGTAGGACCTGACGATTTGACGATTTCAGTTCAAAAAAGGCCAAAATTGGGCCTGGGAACGTCGAAGTTAAATGCCCCAAAACGTGAAATACATGGTGAGGCAGGAGGTCATAAAAACTTTCTTCCTCCCTTCTTCTTTTTTACCTGAGCCCAAAAAAAAAAAAAGTGCAGAATCATGACTGCTTTTATTGACATGCCTCATTGTGTTTATTTAATATTTATTTAATATTTATGTACTAGCGAGTTACTATCATCAAGAGCATTATCGCCACTAGTGGTAGGTAGGTAGTGAAGGTGAACTGAAAGAATTTGAAAAATGATGAGAGAATTGAGAGAAGAATATGGCGTAGTTATATATAAAAAACAAAAAAAGGCATTATCGCTTTAGTGCTTCATTTTTTTTCATGTGAGTTTTAAATTTTGCTTTCAAATGTCGCATATTTAGGATCCTTCATTTCTCCTTTTGCGAGCGTGAATGGCATTTGTAGTATTATCATATTATCATAATTTTATAATATGATTACATTACAGTACATCTTCTGAGCTTTGCATTCGACAAGGCGCAATGACGACTCGCATTCGCAAGGACGCAATATAGACTTATAATATGATCGATGGTCGGATTCATCGGTAGCACACAGACACAGAGAGAGAGAGAGATAGCAATCAAGCTCCATTCATCACTGTTCAGGAACGCGTGTGCTCGTCGGAGAGAGAGAGAGAGAGAGAGCTGTCTCTTATACACATCTAGATGTGTATAAGAGACAGCACAACCTGCTACTAAGAGCAACAATTTGTAGTTT